TTGCCAGGGACGGCAAATTGGCAACTTGCCAGAGACGCAATGTGTTGTCTGCAATAGCATGCAACACATTGCGTCCCTGGCAATTTGCCAATTTGCAATTCAGGGTGGGTCCTGGCGCGATTACATGACACTGTGTCGTCTCGACACTCGTCTAACGTGACACCGATCAAGGGGCGGAGGGCGACCGTGGATATCTGTCCGGCCCCATATTAAGCCCTATTCAGCCGTTTTCCGACCTCATTCCTGCACAAATGGTATCAGAGGGGGCGTCGAATTCAAACTATGTGCAAATGTCCGAAACAATGTTTTTGTTAACAGTGCCTTTAAGACCCACTGGAGAAGAGACTCACCCACGACTCGTGCATCAAAGTTTGAGGCTCACGATCAAGAGTCTCAGACCTTGATCTGTAGCTGCTGTAATCGAATGGCAAGGGACAAGTCAAGTTTCGTGGTTTTTGAACTGACTTTTATCTATAATACCTCTGATATGGTCACTTTTTGTCGACCTATCATCCACCCAACGCTACCGTAATGGAGGCTCTTCAAGTTCAAAGGATGGCGGTTCATTCATATCAACAACTACCTTGAACATTTTGGGGTTGTGCTGAAGTGAATGCTGCGCTGAGAGGAATATTTGCTCTTTACAGTGATCACTAAATTTTATTACAAAAGAGAACCGAAAAAGGTTGTCGTGGTAAACCACGACTTCCTACCTTAACACGCTATATGCAGTTAACTTCTCTTTTAGCCAAAATCTGTAGAATTAGTCACTTCTTCTAGAATGGCATCTGACGTTAGTTTTTGTACAACATCTCTCAGAACTGTAACATCTGGAATGATTGCTACCGTATACAAGCCAAGCAATGCAATGCTCGAGGTCGGGGGACGGTCAAGTCGTGCGTCCGAGGGAGCGCGCGGCAAATTGCGCGGCGAAACCCATACCTATTCTGACGACTTTAGCGCCTACTATTTGGGCCCAATTTTGAATTGCAGCAGAATAGTAGGATCAGCTGACCTTACTAATCTACCCTACTTCAGATTTGGGCCCAAGGATAGGCGCCGTAGTCGTCCAACTTCGCCACGAACAATTTGCCGCGCGCACCCTCGGACGCACGACTTGTCACTCACCCCTCGAGGTCCAATGAATCTCTACCACTGAACGACCGTAACAAAGGTAACCCGGAGAAAACGTGAATCATGATCAACCAGTAAAAACTTATCACGTTACCATTTACGAAGCTTTTTCAGCTCTACCATGTTGTAACAGCCATCAAGCAACAACATTTCTGTTCGATCATCTCTTCTCCTTGCCAAGACATCACATGAACATGGTATGATAAGGTAAAAGTGCTGACGAATTCCAAGCATATCCATGGAATCAATTTTGATAGCACGAATTGAGGTGACTCTTATGAACTCTATGCCCTGTCTTGTGAATGGTGTTCTCAATCCCAGTTTGATGATAAGTGGATTAGATGTCTGAGGAAAATACCGAATTTTTCTTCTTGACTCGGCAACCTTGAAACGTTATCACCAGCCGGACATTTTTTATTCGGCAGTATAGAGAGAGCAGCACGACAGTTTGATCATATTTATTATCTCAAAACATCATGCAATTTTCAGTATTGGTTTTAGTCTCTGTTTGGAATATAAAGTATGCAAAGTAAAAGGCTTTATCGAACTTGTGATTCTGGCAGTGAATAATTAGATATCATGGGGACCAGCAACTGAAAAATCGCGAACACACCTTCAGCAGCATTACAGCAGACATTTCATACCTAAAAATCCCGACGTATACTTCACCTTAGGGTAACTGAGTTATAAACAAAACCCTGGGACTTTAAGCTGTACTTGTGTTTCCCTGAACAAAAGATGAGAACATGAAGATGACTTCATTTGCCTCTCCAGCGAACATCGACATCATCAGTGCGATACCGTTGAGTTATGGTGGAGTTCTCAAGCTGAAAATGAGAACTTGAAGACAGATTCGTACTTTTGCAACTACCCAGTCTTATCAGGCGGCGATTTCAAGAGAACATAAGGCACGATAAACCTGGACATGGTCGTACCTTTCTTTCATCGTGTATGTCTGTGTGTTGTTTGTAATGGGGTGTGTGTATGTGTAGGTGGGGTGACGGTCTATGTATTTATATACAGGGTAGACCAAAATTGTAATTACACATCACATCCCCGAAAACGAATAGAGAGCTAATAAAACAAACCAGTTTCAGAAAGATGTTATCACCGATCTCTTACTGAAATAGTACATTGAAACTGAGACCTGTTGCTTTCTGCTTTCACCCACACCAGGGACGACGATAGACGGCGTCGACGGTGGCACGCATCTTAGATCAACGAGTTTATCCCAGCTTTTCGCAAGATTGGTTTAGTTCTTGTTTGGACTAATGCGTGCTTCTACTTCCAAAGCTCACCACAGTAAGGCATCCATAGAATATGGGTCAGAGCTCCTAAGTGGTCACTGATGGAAAGTTATGAAGTCAGGGGACTCCTTTTACGAAATTTCTAGACAATGTTTGATTGCAGTCAGGAGCTTCATCTTGACAATATGTCCGGTTTGAATAGTCAAAGCGTGTGTTATAATGCGCATGACGAGACCGAACAGGTCTCCAAATCAACTTCCACTTCTGAAACTACAAAAATAAACGCCGTTTCTGCATTGAAGAAGATGCTCGCAAAGCCCATCGCAGAGAGTCAGTGGGCTTAGCGCTGTATCACTCCCATTTGTTGCAGCCTCATAGCAATCTTGTCGCTCTGCTGATTGAGCATTTTTTTGACTGTGAAAATCTTTTCGACGGTGAACAGGAATTCCGTACGACGATTTTTCGTATACGGCAGGGCAGCTTTTGTTAGCCAACCTTTCTCTTCTCTTTAACCTGCTCTCTGAGGAAACCACTTTCTGATCGTATAACGGTCTCGTTGTGCAGGGGATGCTTCACGATTCTGAGATATCCATTCATTCAGCCATTTTGGGCTCGGAGTGAACTTCACTGCTACGCAAACCTTCGCTCTTCTTCCTTAACCTTCTCCATAAATAGCTTTTCTTCCTTAACCTTCTCCATAAATATAACCGCAGGTCTCTTAGGTTTACCCCTTCTATCTGCAAGTGGTTCCAACTTTCGAAAGTGTCGTACGCTTGGATGTACCACGTGCCTTGTTACATCAAGTCGGCTGTGAATGTACCGTGCCGAAAGTGCTTGTAAAGGCAGAATTGATTCACGGGTTGTGACGCAACATCATTTTTAAAATCTCGCGCATAATACCAGTCATCGTAATTTTGGCCCGCCCTGCATATCTGAGTCGTGTGTGTATGTGTTTGTCGACGTTGTTCAGTGTACCTGTCGGAGTGTGTGTATGTGTATGCGTGTATATGTGTATGTGTGTGTGTTTGTCGATATATCTGTTCGGTGTGTATAGGTGGGTGTCGGTATAAGTTTGACCGGAATTAATAACACCTATTCCGTTGTTCATAGCATCTAAGCATACGAAACTTCAAATTACTTACTCAGATCGCAGAGGGCTTCTATATTAACACCTTTACCATTATCAATAAAACTGTTTCTGAAAGGATGTACAGGTAGACCCACAAAGTGGTAAGCCGACAAACCAACAAATGAATAGTCCATCAGTCCCCATGCATGCTAATTGCCCGGTAGGTCAAGCTCTATCTCACATCTATTTATTTCACTCAGTTTTCTTTTCATTTTTACGGCCCTTACTATAACCCTAGTGACTTCTTGGTCAAACTATCAGTGGTGCAACTTGATCACACAGGAGGCATGTGCAGTAAAAAAGCAAGTGAGTACTCTGCAACTACGTAAATGAACTCCAGTACCTCAAATTTTAGTCCTGCCTGGTACATGAGACACCCAGCTTGGGCTATCATCGCCCCGTTGTCAATGCAAAAACGTTCGTCTGTGGCGAAGAGATGCGCACCACGTTCAACACACATAGATTTGGCCATTTCCTGAAAGGGCGTATGCAGTAAGACAGCTGATTCGAGTGGCACCGATGCCCAAAACCAGTGGCAGTCCTTGTGCTACCTGCAGCCTTTCATTACAGCCAACTCCTCCGACAATAAGCAGCTCCTGGCTTCCTGTATGCGCCATTGCCCTCTCGGTTATTTCAACAAGCATTGCGAACACCGTTTCCTGCAATTCCCATTTGCATCAGGTTGATTACCACACGAATGTATTTTCAAAAAGTCTTCGCATTGCAACAAGTGAATAGGTATTGAGAGCTTAGAACTCACTTGCAAAGAGAAACAAAGATCTTCAACTGTATACTCTCCTGAAGCTAATAGCTGCGGTGCCTTACTCTCTATTGTGGACAATATACCAGAAAATGAGACATCCATTCCTTTGACCGTGTACGGCAGATCAAGAAGCTTCTTTCCTTAATGTGTCTAATCGAAAACAGCCTGAGAAACAAGTGAATAGCATGCCCACGTTCCTGCATGTAACTCGTTGGTAAGTTATGACAGATGAAGCTTCTGGTGTGATTAATCCCGTTTGATGAGCGCCCAATTCCCACCTATGATAATAGTGCTGTTTGAATGAGTACTCGGCCACTGATGACTTTTGTGCCTTATAACTTGCCCGTTTGTGGTACCGGGTAAAATCTAACGCAACATTACCAATCCCAACCTGTCGCGGGTCCACTTCTGGACACAAAACTTTCTCATCAACTGAATCAGTTCTCTGTTTTTCTTGAAGACACTGCCTGTAGCAGTACGCTACCTTGTACAGATATGGCTGTTTTCAATTTTCAGTGAAAGCATGGGTTATTTCAGCATCTTCTAGAGCACCTCCTCAGATTTTACACTTCTTCAAATTCGTGAACCCCTATTAAAATAGAATCTCGTACAGACGAGGTGTCTCGATGACTGACGCCCAAATGGAAGTAACAACAAAAATCGCCTTCTACAACGTGAACATAGATCAAAAATTGCGGAAAAGGACTTAAATTTATGAAGTATCCCCAGAGTGAAAATCATTTTAGGCAGAAAAAATCAAACTGAAGCATGGCGGGCTCTCGTACAATCTCTATTTCAACTACCTTGAAAACATATATTTCGTGAACTCTGCGGATTTTCATGCTAACTTCTTCACCGATACACTTTTCTGCGCCGACATTTCTTCGTTTCAACTTAAAAAAATTACTTCAAATTATCATGAACTGTGTGATCCTTAACACTTTGCGTACCGAGTGCATCACATGGTGATGCTCGCAACATGGTGATGCATGAAATTCACACTTAAATTTCCACTCTCATTATGAAGCAATACTAGTCAAACTTTGCAAACATAAGTTTTCGAACATGCTGAACAACATATCTGCATGGGACTCTAACAGCTGAGAAACTATGGAGCGTCCACCACAATATTGATCACGAATCTAACGCTACTAATAAGTTTTATTGTAACATCTCTTCTGTACTCTTGTGAACTCTTTACCAAACGCTTTGTTCACCAAATCAATAACAGGCTGCAGTTTTTTTTCAAAATCTCAATGAAACGGTTTCTTGTCATCAGTCTGGCTGCGGGAGATCCGCGGTATATAATTCTTGTAGACCAGTATTCTTTGAGACTAGACCTTTTCTCGATGCTCATATGAAGACAAATGGCTAAGAACTTGTAGAGCTCCTGCTCTTTGAGCACAGACCAAGTCGAATACTTGGCGGATCCATAACGGTTCGATTCTTCAATCACCACTTTCACCAATTCGTCTGTCATGAATAACTTGTAGAAACTCATTGGATTGCTGAATGCATAGACATCGTCGTTTTGGACCCACTATCCTCGGTAAAAGGTACTACACTTGGTTGAACGATAGTCGAGGACCAACCGGCGTCAGACTCCCCTTCACTATCTTCATCATCACTTGGCTCAACGGCATCAGCGAGCAAACCATCAGGAGCTCCCGAAATATCTTCACTGTCTGCTTCTTCATAGTTATCAATAAGCAGTTGCACGAATAAGTTCTCCAAAGCTTCCATCTCGAGTACTACCAGAATCGATAACAGAACTTCATTGGACTTAAAGCCGCTCTACTGTAATGAGACGAGGAGACACAAAGTCAAGGTGGAAAGAAGCGCACCTTTCGCCTGGTTGGAACACTTTGAAGTCAAGTAACTTTGCCCGGTTGGAATCAAGATCGCAAGATTTAGCACTAAGTAGAATTTATTAGATTTAGATTCAGCACACACAGTTGACCAACAAAATATCTCTTAAATCACAGAGTATTAGACAGAAATGTTGTTCTCCATATGCGAAAACAATATAGAAGAAAATCGGATTCCAATAGTAGAGAATTCACAATGTGAGAAAGAAACCGTTCCGTGTCGCCAAGTGCATCACATGGTGATGCACGCCGCGAGCCGAGAAAAAAATCGTTTAGCCAAGCGCGTCGGAAAATCACAGAGGGCGCCGGTACGCAACGTGTTAAGCAACAACCTTTGCCCTTGAGTAACGTGGTCCCAATAACCGTATTTAACCGCAAATTACGCTGCTTCTCACAGCTCCGCCCCTCCATGCCCCCTACGGCTCCCACGGCGGGATCCAGTTGAGTCACTTTTTACCATTTTTCCATCACTGTCGCCTGTCAATCCTGTCGCCTCACCCCTGAAAACTTGAATACTTCCACCTACCATCAGTGTTCCTTTCCTACTGCCTGTACCCCTGCCAAATCTGAGCGCTCTAGGTCTAGAGAACGGGTGTTGTGAGTGTTCAGTCGGACACACACAAACGCAAACATGGACAAACCTACAGGCACACTCAGCACGTTATAATAGTGGGATGATGTCATATTTTCTTTGAGGAATGATTGCATTTAGAAAAAAAACTGAAAGACTTACTACACACGTTCCTTATCTTAGTTAAAATATATGTACCACAAGGCTCGAGGTTACGGCAGTCGCGGTAGAACTTGCCTCCCATCCTCACTATATATAAACCACATCCTTGGTGTGCCTGTTTGTCTGTTTGTTTGTTTGTCGTCGCAAATTTCAGTATCATCTGACGAAGCAACTGTAGAGATCGGGTCAAGTTTGGAATAGGTCGAGCATAGGGGAGGACCAACAGAGCACACGTGAGCTCAGCGGAGCTCCGCCCCAAGGGGCGGGGCGTCCGCTGAAATTGGGCGGGGTCATGGACTAATTCTTCTCATTCGGTCTCATAACAGTCCAGATGCCGGGAAAAATGTGCAAAGGCGAGGGATGGTACTTTCCTCAGAGACAGGGCCTCATGCGTGCTGGGCATGCGTAAGCTTAGCGAAGCCCGCCCACAATGAGCTGGGCGTGCGTTAAGGTGAAAGCGACTTTCTATAAATGAGTGTAACTTCGTTCGGAAACGTTCTAGAATGCCGGAAAAAAAGTGGTTAGAGGTAATGGAACAAGTGTGGTAAATCCCAGAAGTGGGCGGGGTTGTCACTAAATTGGGTGGGGCTTAGATCAAAATTTATAACTATATTCAGAAACGTTCTGGCATGCGGGAAAAGGTGTTAAGGTGTAAGAGAACAAATGTGGCCAAATTCTCGAAGTGGGCGGGACTTAGAACAAAAATCAGTGTCTGTAGAAAAACTTGTCTTTCTCCTACTCCTTTGCCACGCGGGACTTTTATGTAGTACAGTACAGTACGATGATTCACTTTATCTTCTTATAATACTTGTAAGGGCAGACGACTGTTCTTTCGAACTTCCCTCGAAGACTTACTGACCACCCAAGTGGCCGCCTTATATACCCCCCAGAGATCATAGTAATGGCGCGAAAGGATCAGTCGCCCGTATTGGTTAGATCAACAGTTAACATAACTTCGTATAACAAGGAATAAACACAACATCAATAAACATATACAACAACAATGTGTTACATCAATAATATACTATCAAGGGTCGATTCTTCGACACTCCCGGCCGCGGCTTCTGGCTCTCCTTTCTTCGATCTCTTTTTTGAGCGATGCGATCCGGTTTACCAGCAGACTCCTCGAATCTGCTACGCTGCAAAGTGCCTTGTGGTGGCCATTATCTTCCGGAATCATGTCCTCAGCGATGGTTCCTCTGACGCGATCGCAGTACCAACAGCTTCTTGGCTTGAACTTGCACTTGTGTTTTGGGCAGTTGTCCAAGCAGTGGACGCACAACTTTCCCGTGCTCACGATGTGGTATCGCTCGTTCCCATTAGTGACCTTCGGGCACGAGTCCGAAAAGTGCCGTTTGGTTTTCCCACAGAAGGCGCATGGTTTGTCGCTGGCAACGCCCTTTGTATCGCCTATCATCCTGTAGGGGAACTTTTTGAGGACTTTCTTTATTTTCCAAAGGTCCTCTTGCAGCCGATTGAGACTAGTGTGGTCATCGACGCGATTGTCTTCTTCGTCACTCGAGATCTGTTCCAAAGTGGGAATCTCTTCCATGCAACCGTCTTCGTCGCCGCTTGACGTATCTTCCACATTGGGAAGGTCTTCCATACGGTCGTCCTCAACTTCTTCAATCATCCTTTCGAGATAGGCCTTGTCGGAGATTTCCTCTTCCACTTCTCTTCCTTTTGCCTGTTCCAGGACTTGTTGAAGTTGACGTTGTTGCTCTTCCTTCTGTAGTCTCATGGCTTCTAGTTCGTCGATCTTTTGTTTCAAAGCCACAATTTCATCGTGTTGTCGTTGAATGGTTCGTTGAAGCGTAAACGCCATTTTCTTGTGTGTTTCAGCTTGATCGTATAGCTTGGAATCGTGGATCTGTTGCTGTTGCTCGGCCTTGATGAGTTCCGTCTCCACTTCTCTTATCACAGGGCCGAGGCGTTTGAGTTCGCCGTTGTTCGTCGAGAGGATTGCGGAGATGTCCGTCACTCTCCTTTGCAGCTCGATCCAGCTGTTGCATCGGATGGGATCCGATAGGCTTTCGTACCATTTTCTCGTGAGGAAATACTTGTAGGATAGCTGCACTATCTTCTCCTTCGACATTTCCGCTGCTCTCAGAATTTTATTCAGTACAATTACTTGTTCCTGAGGTCGATCGCAGTTGAGTACAATATCTCCTTTCATGCGTGTCCAGTCCGAACGAATACTTGCAGCAGTTGCGAGTTGCCTGTCAATCCCGTCCAACAAGAGGTTCATGCTGTTCTCAAGACTGATGGGTGTAGGCTCTTCCTCCTCAATGTAGAGTCCAAGCAGAGCGAGTTCGTTGTCCATGCTCGTTGTGAGTCTGAAATCGGAGAAGATTTCGTCGCATAGATCGAGGTGAATAACAGGAGTCACTTGTGATTTATCGGGATCGCTCCCGTACTGTCGGATAGTATAAGAGAGTTTGAGTAATTGCCCCGTACTGTTTGGCAGAACTTTTGGGGAATAACTTAATTTTCTGGGTCTAGGGTGGAAACTTCTTCGGGTGCGAGACCAGTCCGTGAATGAGTTTCGCGAGTCCAGGGTCGTGAGACCTGTAGAGCCCTTGGCTCAGCTGTAGTAGCACTGTCAAGGCCGGAAGAGGTAGAATAGAAGCCTGATGATACTTGAAAGCTTTCGCGTTGTTCCCAATGTTGTTGCGAATGTCGTCCTCGGTGGACCTTGTCTCGATCCAGTTGTTGTGTACGGAAACTTGTAGATTTCCGTAGGGTCTTTTGAAATTGGCGTTCATCTGTTGAGGTAGATTAGGTTCTTCGACATAGGTCACTTGTTGGAAGCTGCGACCTGAAAGTTGGCTGGAGCACGAACATCCTATCACTAAGGCCAAGATAGACAGGATGTTGATGAGCAAATGTGATTGCCTTGTAGGGCTTCTCGCCATGGTTCTCCCGTAGTTTCGTTGTTTCCTGGGTCGGAGATTGTAATGACCTCCCAATGTTGTGGAGCTTGTGTTATGTTCAATTCCCGTGGACTCGGGGTCATTATTGGGTCCTTGTGTTGAAGTTAACTCTTCTTGGGCTTGTTCCGGGGGAACTTTCCCTTCCAATTCTAGTGGAACTAGTAGGTTTATTGGCCGACGTACTTGTCGACGTGACGGTAGCATGACGACTGCTTCGCGTACTATCCCCCCAGACTTTGCGACCAGGTCATGGATTCTTCCCATTCTCCATGAATGTCGAGGTGTAACTGGTTCGCTGATGAGGACAATGTCACCTTTCTTAGGCAGGTGTATTGAACTTCTGTTCTTGCCAACTTCAAGTTGGTGTTTTTCCCTTAAAGCTAGCAAGTATTGGGTTTTCCAGAGTTGCCAGAACTTGTCAGTGCAATTGCAAGACGACCGCAGAGCTTGTATAGCCTGTCTCTTTGTCTTGATACGAGCTTGCTCCTCGGCTGGGTGGTACGTATGGTCGTCTTCTTCTTCGTCTACTTCGTCTAGTGGATAAGGAACCTCAATTCGTTCTGCAGGAAGTCAATTGGCCTTAACACTTGTTCAAATGGTGAGTGTGATCCTATGTATACGAGCGGTCTTGTATTGATGAGGGCCTCGATTTCGAGTATCAGAGTGGATAAGTGCTCAAAGGAAAGTTTTGAGTGTCCTAATGACTTGTAGAGCGAATGTTTTACTGTTTTGATCAATCTTTCGTAGAATCCCCCTTGCCAGGGAGCGAATGGCGTGATGTGTCTCCACTCAATTTCCCTATCTGTGATAGCTCTCTCTACTGAGGCGTCACTTCGAGCCGCCTGCAGGCATTCGTTGAGAATGTCCTGTCCTAATGTAAACGTAGGAGCATTGTCACTTGTTATGGACTTCGGTAGCCCGTGCCGTGAGAAGAAGCGTCTGAGCATCATAAGGAACGCTGTTGTAGAAAGGTCTGAGACAATGTCGAGGTGCACTAATCTGGTGGCCATGCAGGTGATTATACATCCGTAGCATTTGCCATCCATGCCGTCACCCTGAAGGATACTAAGTGGCCCAAAATAGTCTAATCCGACATAGGCAAAGGGACGGGATTTCAGAACTCTTTCATGCGGCAGACTGCCTTGTTCCGGGTACTTGTATGGCAGATTATTGTATCGTTGACAGCGTACGCAGTGTCTGACGATACGTGTCACTTGTGTACGCAATTTGGGAATCCAGTAGTTTTGTCTTACCAGTGACATCGTATGGCTAATTCCCGGATGTCCCTTATTGTGACAATCTCTTATTATTGCTTCAGCTAGCCACGAATTTTGCAGGACAATCATAGGATTTTTAGCTTCTGTCGCCAAATCGCTGTTGCCCAAGCGTCCAAAACACCTGAGCAAGCCTTTGCAATCTTCCTAGATGTTGAGATGTTTCAACGATTGGAGGATTCCGGTAGTAATCATGGAATGCTGATGTTGTTTCACCAGCATTTTTCCTGCGGTTGCTATCTCTGCGCCTGAAAGTTCGGCATAGTTGATACTCATCCCTTCAAGAAGAGTGGAAAGGTGGATTTTATTGGTCTGCTTTACATTGACCCGAAGAACCAGTATTCTGCTGTAACGCAGGACATATGCTAAGACGCGTTTAGCCATTTTGAGAGAGTATTTTTCCAGTCGGAATAATAAGTATGATCCCTCGGATTCATTTGGAGAATCCTTTTTGGATAAAAGAACCTGGCTGCATTTTTCTGCTGGCTTCGCTAGGTTTGTGCCCTCCATTTCGGTCGTGTCATCGTAGACCGTAGTCTCAACGCTTTCCAGCACTTGGAATTTATTTGTCCAGGTCTCAGGTGGGTTGTAAAGGAAGGATGGTCCTGTCCACCAGAAATGGTCAACTAAGTCTTTCTGGCCGACCCCTCGAGTTGCGCAGTCTGCCGGATTCTTGTCCGTAGGAATGTAGCCGAAAAATACTTTTACTCCTTCGTTTTGAAGGTGTCGAGTAACTTTCCCAATTTCCATCAGACGGTTGAAAATTCTCACTCCCACGTTGGCCAGTGGCTGACGCTTGATCCAGCTCAGCACAATTTCGGAGTCCGAATAAATGTAGGCGTCCCGAATTCTTAGTACGGCCCGTAACTGAGCTAGGATTGCATTCATCAAGCGTAGAGCTAGCGTAGCGGCGTCCAACTCCATCTTTGGTATCGTGATTTTATTGCTCCTGAGGGAAGGTAATTTATTCCTCGCCATGAGGAGACTGGAAGAGTTCTCAGTGCGTATGTAGACACTTGTAGCGATCGCCTCGAGGCTTGCGTCCGCAAATGCTATTAGGCAGCATTCACCGTTTTTTGCAGAAAGGTTTCGAGGCAGCGTCTTCGAGAATCCCTCCATTTTGGAGTGTATCTCTGACCACTTGTCAATGTGATGCGGTGACAGGGTCGTGTCCCATTCGTAACCTTCTTTCCAAAGTGTTTGGAGAAATACTTTGGCGCGAAGGAGCAATGGCAACATCCATCCAAGAGGGTCGTAAATAGACGCCAGTGTACTTGCCACGGATCGTTTTGTAATCCTTTCAGGGAATTTCGGCTTGCATTCTATTTGGAAGAAGTCCTGCGATGGTAACCAAGTGATTCCCAGTACTTTTGGGCGCACATCACTTGATTTGTCCTTATCTTTTATGTGAGACATCAGTTCTTTGCTGTTGGACATGAACTCTCGGAGGTTCATGTTCAAATCATTGAAAACTTGCTTTGCTCTAGCGTATATATGGCGAGAAGTATCTACTGAATCCGCCGTAAGAATCAAGTTGTCGACGTACAGGTTATCTTTAATTTGCGTCATAAGCTGTACATCTTCCTTATACGTATCAAGATGGAAATGGATAGTTCCAGCTAGCAGAAAAGGTGACGTTTTCACCAAAAGTTACTCTTGTGAACCGCAGGATTCGTATGTTGTCTGGCGTAGGTGGCAACTTGTAATCGTGTAGCCACAAGCAACGAGTGTAGTCACGGTCATCTTCATGAATTCGGACTTAAAGGAATGCTTTTTCCACATCCGAAATGATCGCTATCTCTCCGATTCGAAACCTGAGTAGTACACCGTACAGCTGTGGAAGTATGACAGGCCCACGATGTAAAACATCGTTCAATGAGGGGCATCCTCTGTAGTGTGCGGATGCATCAAAGACGATGCGAAGTTTGGTGGTTGTTTTGTGTGGAGTGAGTACTGCTTGATGGGGAATGTAGTGAACTCCGCACTCCTTTGGAGAGTTGGTGATGCTCACTTCTTCTAAGATATGCTTCTCAAGCTGTTCTTCAAATACCCCGTTATATTGTGCCATCAAGTTTTCATCTTTTTTCAATGAATTCCAGACAGAAAGAAGTCGATTTTGGGCTATCGCTTTGTTGTCTGGTAATTTGGTATTCACGTTTTTCCACGGTAACCTCACGTAGTATCCATCACCTCGCTTCTCTATCGTCTCGTTGAATTTCTTCCACACTTGTCGGTCTGCTGCAGCTTGTTCCTCTTTTTCCGCGCTGGAAAACTCTTCCGTTCCTGCAGACTCTAGAGACCAGTACCGGTCCCACTTTTCATTTTCATCGGTTTCCGACTGTGGGTCAGGAAGGGTTGTTACATTAACTTGTCCCTCCAATGTCCAATAACCATCCCACTTGTCTTTTTCCTTTTCCGGATTCTCTTCTTGTAGTGACCTGGTTGCTTGACCCGTCATTATGTAACCCAGACGGGTTGGAAGCAGATGTAATCCAGATGGAAGTTGTATGTGTGGCTCATCACACGTGATTAAGGTCCACAATTGATCACAGCCAATGAGTATAGAAGGTTTAACAGTGGAACCTCCCTCCTTGAAGTTAACCGTCAGCTTGTGCTGAAGGATGTACTCTACGTCATCTGCACAGATAGGAGCAGTCTCAAATGGCTTGGTCAAAATCTCGTGAGTGTGCAGGAAGAGTGTGAACGGGCGTCCTTCTACGTCCCATGCTTGTAGCGAGACTTCACGTGATGTTGTCTCATGCACCTGGTCCGAACCAAAGGTGTGAAGGCGAAGTCGTGTCTCCTTGATTGAAGGTAGGTGCAGTTCCGCAGCCAATGCCGTATCTATGAAGGAGATTTCTGCTCCTGTATCTAGAAGGACTGAGATTTTCCTCAAACTCTTCGTGGTCGGGTCTAATGCTGTGATTTCGCCCGTGGGTAAATATGTGGGCTGTCTTTTTAGCTGGTATTTAGCCGGTAGAACTTCCAGGACTGTCTGCCCTTCTGCAGGTACCGAGTTCGAGTGAATGCTGAGGTAGTTCACTTTCATCCTCGAATTACCTGTATTAGTTTCTTTGCTTCTGCTTGAGCTTCCTTTGAACTTGCTGTTCTCCTTGTAATCGGATGCTCTCTCTTTGAATGATGATGCCGTAGCACCTTTCTCCTCTCCTTGAAAGCAGCACGAAGTGTGGTGCTGTTTGTGACGTGACATTTGAAACATGGGCGGTTCTTGCATTCTGCTGTGATATGTCGTGGTGATGCACATATCAAGCATAACTTGTGTTCTCGTAAGTACTGTGAACGTTCTCGTGGTGTTGCGTACTTGTCACAGTCAAAAGATTTGTGACTTCCCTCGCAGTACATGCAGGGTTGCCTTGGACCGAATTTCGGCGGTTTCGGTTTGTCGGCGTTCCCAGCTGCGTGTGAGAGGGTTTCGTTCTTCATGTACTGAGACACCATTTCTTCACTTGTAATGATGTCTTCAAGAATTTGCAGATGGTGATCCATAGTGAAAGCAGCGTCTTTCGAAGTC